GACGCGTCGAGACTTCCTGTGCGCGAATTAATTAGCTACTGGAAAATTTCGACGTGTCGAGCCTTTGGCTCGACGCGTCGAGTCCACTGGGCCCCGAACTCATCCAGAATTGCTCCCTATTAGGGTTGAGGAAGGAGGGATTTTATAGTGGGTACAAAGTTGAGATGAAATAGGAATCTTGTACAAAATTGGACTCAAATTATAATTCCTATATATAAAGAAATTGCCGACTTAATTTAAAATTGAAATTGGAAGTTGGAATTTGGAATTTGCTATTGAAGTTGATTGGGATTTGGATATTTAATTTAAAATTGAGGTTTGAATTTGGAACGCTGCTGCCCTTCGGAAATTAACATCGCTCGACGCGTCGAGCCTCAGCTCGACGCGTCGAGACCTGCTGTCTCGACCGGAATGTGTACTGGAAATTTTCGACGTGTTGGCTCGACGCGTCGAATCCTCTGGGTCCCGAACTTGTCTAAAATTGCTCCGAACTCATCCTTGAACTCCCCTTGCTCATATCTTTGACCTAAAATGGTTCAAAAACACTAACAAACACCGTAAAACATTCAAAACAAGTGTGAACCATAATTAAATGATAATAGCAAGGAAAATATGTATTAAATAAGCAAAATTAAAGAACTTAATTACTGTGATGGTTCAAAATAACTATAATAACAAGCAAAGATGTGATAACATCACCCCCTCACACTTAAGCTTTTGCTTGTCCTCAAGCAAAACTAAGGAATAAAATCACAAGTCAAAACATACAAATTACTCATGCTCTCTCTTGCACAACCTTTCAAACCACCAACCCACTTGCTACAAAACAACAAGCTTCAAGAATCAAATTAGTTTGGCACATAAGAGACCCATTTCCAAGCCAATAACCAAGCACCAAGAATTTTTTTTTTGAATGCAAGCACCAAGAATTTAAAGCATGTGAGGATCAAATGTGCACAAATACTCAGTTGAGATTATGCAAGATACGGTTCATGAATGAGATCCCTTAGGATTGCCTTTCATACTCCCCTAGATCAAATCTAAGAATTCATGCTAAGATCAAATAGGACTTTATTAAGCTTGTAATGGGGCTACGGGTGATGGCTAACAAAGAAGTGGTATGGAAAAATTAATCAAAAAGAGAGAATGTCACAATTTATCTAAACTTTTCAAAATTTGGAAGAGATGAGATAATCATAATTCCAAGGAGCAAATTTCTTTTAAGAGCTTAGCAACTCTTTGGTAAAGTGGGGATCCAAACTCAAAAACTTTCAATCTTTTTTTTTTTTCTCATTCTTTTCTTTGTTTTTGGAATTCTTTTGGATATAGCAAGATAACTTTAATCCAAACTTTCATGACCTCCACACTTGAGCATTTGTAACACTGGCTGCTTTTTTTTTTTTTCGTAGCACAACTCCATAAAACTCTTCATACGGAAAAGATAAAGATAAAAGTTTCATTCTCTCAAGGGTGGAAGGGAAATATTTGGCCACGGGCTAAGGGTTATAATAATGGGGTAAATCAAAGAAAAACAATCACAAAGAGGGGATAAGTGCTTAGCACTTATTTGAACAAACAAAAGGCAAAATGGGGATACGAAGGATAAAATATATATAGGGACAGGTTTAAATGGTATCGATAAACAAAAATGGCCTAAATCACTTCAAAACATGCAAAACTTAGACATCACTTAGGGAGTAATGAGGCAAGTTCTAGCAAAACACCCATGACCGGAATCTCACATAAGCCTTCACTAGCAATGCAAAACACAAGATCAAGAATTAATCCAATTATTAAGTAGTTAACAAAGCTATTGGCAAGGGAATAGATTAAATATGTGTTACACCTCAAATCATCCATCACAAATTGAGATGCAGTAAGCACCACTAAAACAAACCACAAACCAACAAGAGAGAATAATTGTAACTGCATGCTAAGACAAGTAACTTATTCACCAAAAATAGCATATGAGTCATCCAAGCAAAGGCAAAAATTTTAAAAATTTAGAAATATCCCCAAATTAATGATTTCTCCCCCTCACACTTAAAACTTTGCATCATCCCTGATGCAAAATAAAAGAAAAGGAGAACAAGAGAAAAGAGAAAACTAAGAAGCAATAAAATAATCACGAACTAGAAAATAATAAAACTAAATAAGTCGAAACTAGAAAGCAATAAATAAATAGGGAAAGTAATAAAAGATAACATGGGGTGCCTCCCATGAAGCGCTAAATTTAACGTCGTTAGCTCGACGTTACCTCTCTAGCCATCAAGTGATTGGAGAAGAAAAATCCCCTTCTTTCCATCAACTTTCTCTTCCAAGTATTTCTTCAAGTGGTGTCCATTTATAAACTCTCTTAAGCTCGAACCCTTCACGTCATCATGTAAGGAACCACATTTGCCCGAATCAAGAATTATGCCTCCATTCTCTTTTCCTTCTTTTTCAACACTCTTTTGTTCAACAAGTAATGAGAGTCTCGGATCATTCACATGAACCAGCAAGTATTGTGAATCATTGGATATATAGATAGGCAAATGTGTGCCATTATCCTTAAGAACTCCAATGCCTCCCAAATTCAAAATTTCTCTGAAGTTCTCTCCAAGGGAAGTGTTCTCCATTGGTGAGACATCCTCATTCAAATCATGTGCTCCATTAAGAACTTCCTCATCTAATGGGCAACTCTCTATATGTTCCTTGCCATCATTACCTTGCAACTCTACATTATCCTCCCAGCTTGGTGTCTCCATCTCAATGCCTTTATCAAATATTTCTTCATCTTCCTTTCTAAGATCCTCATCATCCTTTTTATTTCTCTCAACTTCATGACCTTCATTTGGCAAGAGCAACTCTTCTAGAACCTCTCCATTAAATGAATCTTGAAGTGGCTCTTGAATTGTCAAATCTTGCTGTCGAGCCATCATGTGACCGAGTCGAGCATTCATGCGATCAAGTTGAGCCTTCATGTGATCTTGTAACTCCAGATATTTCGAGCACAATTGCATTACCTTGGTCTCTTTGGACTTCATCTCAATTATTTGGTCAAGTGATTGACAATCTTGTTGAAACTCTTGGTACGGCAACTCTTGAGCTCGCCCTTGATACTTGTAATTGGGATCCATGATAAAGCAATTTTCCGCCTCATGAGATCGACCACATATCATGCATCGTGAGGGTTGTGGAGTAGGTGGTGTGCATCTTTGATAAGTAGCTTGACTCATGTTGGCACAAAATCCTGGAGTAGAGGTGGTGTACTAATCACTAGCTACTAGGTTACTCATATGAAACTAGTCCGAACAAAACTTGAAGGTTGATTGATTGCATAAAATGACAAGCAGAACAAAATAAGTAGCAAGCAGAACCAAGCTAGTGTTGCTCTAATAACCATACACTTCCCTGGTAGTAATTTGAATCATGGCCCCGTTGTATGGACTTTCATTAATGTCAGTACGTAACGCCACCTCCCCGGCAACGGCGCCAATTTGATTGCTGTAATTTGGGGCAAACAAATAATACCCGGAGTATTCGGGTTGCCGAACCACAGAGAGGTGGTGTACTAATCACTAGCTACTAGGTTACTCATATGAAACTAGTCCGAACAAAACTTGAAGGTTGATTGATTGCATAAAATAACAAGCAGAATAAAATAAGTAGCAAGGTTTTGTAGACAATAGAGCAAAATAGGATTCTTGGGATCACAATGTTTAATCACCTAGTGCCAATTAACGTTTGTAATATTTAGTTTGGAATTAAGATTTGTATGGGAATGCAAGGTGGAATCGAATTACTCCCGTAATCTCTATTCCTAGTGAATTTCCACTCCCATGGCTTAAACACCCAATAAGATCAAAGATCAGCATTCAATTATTCCTAATTACTACCATCTCCCGATGAGCAATAATCTAGAATAAACTTCCCCTAATAAGTTCCCCTTTCCCAAGGACCAACCATTAGGTGCAATCATGTGTGCCCTAATTTATGCCCCAACTCCCATTGGTGACATAAACATGACAGTGAAGCTAGTAATTTAGGCCTTTAACCACCAACAACAACAGATTAAAACAAGATTGCAACACAAATCATAAACCAAACATAAATATATTAAGAAATTAACGAACTAGGCACATAGGTTCATAGACAAATTCACCCAAAAATCCCTAAGGAATTTAGCCGAGCATGGCTAAATTATACATAGCAAATATGAATAAAGGATTACAAATCATCAGAAGAGTACAAGAATTAACCAAGCGATTCTCCCAAATCTCCCTGGCTTCCTCCTTGCTTCCAAAGATGACTTGAGCCTCTTGATTTCTCTCTTTCTTGTCTACAAAGAACTCTAAAAATCTCTCGGTGTGTTTTTTTTTAGGGTTGAGGAAGGAGGGATTTTATAGTAGGTATAAAGTTGAGACGAAATAGGAATCTGGTACAAAATTGTACTCAAATTGGACTCAAATATCTCGCGACTTCGTGCTGCGCCCGACGCGTCGAGACCTGCTGCGCCCGACGCGTCGAGACCTGCTGCGCCCGACGCGTCGAGCCAATTCTCCACGCGTCGAGACCTGCTGCGCCCGATCATAAACCTTTCTGGAAATTCTCAACGCGTCGAGCCAAAAGGCTCGACGCGTCGAGTCCTCTGGGTCCCGAACTTGTCCAAAATTGCTCCAAACTCATCCTTGAACTTCCCTTGCTCATAGAATTGACCTACAATGGTTCAAAAACACTAACAAACACCGTAAAACATTCAAAACAAGTGCGAACCATAATTAAATGATAATAGCAAGGAAAACTTGTATTAAATAAGCAAAATGAAAGAGCTTAATTACTGTGATGATTCAAAATAACCATAAAAACAACAACAGATGTGCTAACATCAGAACTTAATGAGAGAGGGGAAGGATATTGATTAAAAGGAAAGCAACTGTTTTATTCATCATTCTTCAAGCTACAGAGGAGAGCATTTTATATACAGGGAAAAGAAGCTGAAGCTGAGGTGAGTCGAAGGACTAACCGACTAACTGAAGATGAAAAAATAACAACTAAAACAACAACTGTTAATAACAGACTAAACAGATTTAATTGGGCTTGGGCTTGATCTGCTTGCTTGTTTACTGTTGCACTATCTGATAGCCCCCCGCAAGCTGGATTGTATAGGTTGAACAATCCCAGCTTGGAAACATAGCTAAAGAAGGTGGCTGGACAGTGAGCTTTTGTCAATATATCTGCTAGCTGACTTCCAGAAGCCACATGAAATAGTTTGACTGTGCCTTTGTGAAGTTTTTCCCTAACTAGATGGAAATCTATCTCAATGTGTTTGGTTCTCTCATGGAAAACCGGATTCTCACTGATTGCAATTGCAGACTTACTATCACAGTAGATAGCAGCTGGTGCTTTAGGATGCAATCCAAGTTCACTGAGAAGGTAGATTAGCCATTGGACTTCACATGCTGTTGCTGCCAAGGCTCTGTACTCTGCTTCTGAGGAAGATCTTGATATTGTAGCCTGCTTCTTGGACTTCCATGATATCAAAGCTTGACCATGAAAATTGCAGAAGCCAGTGATAGATTTCCTTGAATCCACACAAGCACCCCAATCAGAATCATAGAATGCTTTCAAGTGTATATCAGAACTAGTTGGGAAGAATAAACCTTGTCCTGGAGCATTTTTAATATATCTTAGGACTCTGTGTGCAGCCTGTAGATGTAGATGTGTAGGTTTATCTAGAAATTGGGAGAATTGTTGTGTAGCAAAGCTTATATCAGGCCTTGTAATGGTTAGGTATAATAACTTTCTAACAAGCCTTCTGTACTGGACATTGTCATCAAGGAACTCACCTTCATTTTTACTTAACTTGTGTGATGGAACTGTTGGACTGTAAACTGGTTTGGAATCCATGAAACCTGCCTCATCCAGCAATTCTAAGGCATATTTTCTTTGAGACACTGCAATTTCCTTCTTCTGTCTAGCTATCTCCAGTCCTAAGAAGTACTTCAAGAGACCTAGATCCTTGATCTGAAACTGATCATTAAGTTCCACTTTAACCTGCTGAATCAATTTCAAATCAGTACTAGCCACTACTATATCATCTACATAACCTAGTAGGGCCATAAATGATGTTCCTTCCCCTTTAACAAACAAGGAATTATCAGGAACAGTTTGTTTAAACCCCATATTCTGCAAAGCAACACATAGCTTGGTATTCCACTGTCTACTTGCCTGTTTTAAACCATATAAAGACTTGATTAGCCTGCAAACTTGGCCATTATTTCCTTATGTGTATCCAGGGGGAAGTTCCATGTAGACTTCCTCCTCTAAATCCCCATGAAGAAAGGAATTGTTCACATCCATTTTGTGTAAATGTCATTCCCTTGCAGCTGCAAGTGCTAGTAGAGTTCTGATGGTGGTCATTTTTGCCACTGGACTAAAGGTGTCTAGATAATCAATTCCAAGCGCCTATGTGTAGCCTTTAGCTACAAGCCTTGCTTTATACCTCTCAATAGTGCCATCAGCCTTGTGCTTTATTTTGTATACCCATCTACATCCAATTGTTTTCTTGGGTGGTGGCAAATTCACTAATTCCCAAGTGTTGTTTCCTTTTAATGTATCAATTTCTTCCTTCATGGCTTTCTTCTAACAATCATACTTCACTGCTTCCTTGTAACTTCTAGGTTCTGTGTGACATGTAAGATTCATAACAAAAGAGTGGAATGAAGGTGAGAGTTTAGTGTAGTTTATCAACTTTAAGAGATCATGGGGAGAAGATCTCACTACAGAGCTGTGACACACATAGTCTTTTAGATAAGCAGGAGTAGATTTCTGTCTATTGGATTTTCTGATCATTGGATGTCACGCCCCACTTCTAGGACATGACCCGGCCGTATCGCTAATGAAAACCTGTAACAATACGAAGCCTAACCATACATACCTCTCAGAATCTTCATAATAACACTTGAATATACAATAATTCCACAACCCAAAATGACAAAATATAATCGACTAGTTCTTCCCAAAAACTCATCAAATTCACTATTAAATATTTATAATCAAGAGTAGTACGTCCTAAATGCATCACAAGCACCAAAACCAAACACAATGGTTTACCAAAAATACAAAGGTCAAAGGGAATATATAAATAAACAAAAGTCCATGATAAGCTCCAATACTAGGACTAAGCCTCCTAGTTTCAAAAGTCACCTTCGAGACCCCACCACTTGTGCTCGTGTTATTCACATGTCCTTAACTACTCTGAAACATGAGGAAAAATATACAAATAATGAGCTAATGCCCAGTAAGTGGTACTCCCCTCAACCCCGGATCAAGTAACCCCAATAGAGTACAAAAAACTTTTAGAGTAATAAATAGATGCAAAACTCAATCCTTAAACTATATAAAAGTTAAAACATACTTACATCATACTATACACAAATTCCCAAAATGGAAAACTTTAGCTACAAGGGCATCAACATCATTTCATAATGCAATACTTTCAAAAGAACAAATCATTCCTTAACATATGACTCATTGGCAACCTACAACCACCATTATCGGCATAATGGTCCAAAAAGACTCGACAATTCGGAATGAGTCAGGCTCGACGATTCAGAATGAGCCGGACGGAACGTTCCAACAAATAATTCAAAAGACTCGACGATTCGGAATGAGTCAAGCTCGACGATTCAGAATGAGCAATTAGGAACGTTCCAAGCCGAACAGAACAAACAACAAAATGTAGGTTGCCTCATGAGTTTGGTCAAACCTTCAAAATAATTCTTATAATCAAATAGCCCATTGTAGCAAAAATCAATTCCTTAAAGATCACATAACAAAGTGCATATCCAAAAGTAATTTTATGAAATCATAAACTAATAATTGTCAAATAAATTATATGATCCTCTTTTAGAGCAAAACACGTTAGTACAAATCATACACATACGAATATAGTCAAATATAGTCATGTTCACTGATTCAAAGAATCCAAACTTAGGCATGCCCAAAGATATCTTTAGTCAAGTTTAATAGTCCAAAAACATATCATAGTCCAAAATACTTTTAACTCATACTAACCCTTAAATGGGCATTCAAAGTAGTAGAGATTCTAAAATAGTTTATGGGTTTTGCAAAATAAGGAGAGAAGAGTTAACCACTTACCTAAAAACATCCAAATCTTAGCTATTAAACTCGTCCAAATACTCCTTGTCAAAATCCCTAATATTTTCAAACATTAATCTTAGGGCTCAAATGATAAACCCAACTCAAATAAAGTGAAAAAAAATGGAGATCAAACTCACCTAGAATACTCCCAATAACTTGAGACCTAAACTTGAAGAAGATGGAGATCAAAGCTTCAAGATTTTTCCTTCCCCTATCTCTCTAGTCAACTGTCCTTATCTTCTTTTAAAAGAGATCTTTCTCCAAGACCAAGGGATTCCTTAATCATTAAGGGGAGAGAAGGCTAATTTAGTAATTTTATCTAATATCAAATTTTAATAAGCTTTGACTTTTTGACCTCATTTACTAAACATATATATATATTATTTATAAGGTTGTGGGTATTACACTGGATGTTGAATCTGTTCTGATGAGGTGCTATGTAACTGCTCAATTGAGCCTTCAGATGCTTCATTAGGATTGTTCTGAGGGCTATCAGTGTTTTGAGAATTATTCTGTGGAGTAAGAGCATCCTGGGAATAATTATGACAATCATCAAGAGAGCCTGTTGAGGGAAAAACATTAGCTCTTTGGGAAATATTGTGAGGATCAACAAAAAAACCCATTGAAATGTCAGCTGGGAGAATAACTTCAGGAACTTGTTTTTCAGGCACAACAGCAGGTTGAAATGGGAAAGTATTTTCATAAAACACCACATCTCTGGAAAGGAAGACTTCTTTTTTACTTAGATTATACAATTTGTAGCCTTTAGTACCATTAACATATCTAAGAAACACACACTTCTTGGCCCTGGCATCAAATTTGGACTTTAGTCCTAGTGTGGCAGCAAAGGCTAGACAGCCAAAAACTCTTAAGTCTTCATACTGTGGAATTTTCTGAAGAAGAACTTGGTATAGTATTTGTTGATTGATGGCAGCAGAAGGTAGTCTGTTTATGATATAAGATGCATGCAATATGCATTCTCCCCAAAAACCTTCTGGTAATTGAGCTTGAAACCTGAGAGCTCTAGCAATGGAGAAGATATGGCCATGTTTTCTTTCTACTCTGCTGTTCTGTTGTGGAGTATATGTGCAAGATGTCTGATGTAATATCCCTTCTTGGCAAAAGAAATCACTCATGTCAAATTCAAGTCCATTATCTGACCTTATACTTTTAACAGTTACTTGAAACAGATTCTTGACCATCCTGCAGAATCTAATGATTAAATTTCTGACTTCAGATTTCTTTCCCATTAAATGCACCCATACAGCCCTACTGTAATCATCCACCATAGTGAGAAAATATTGATGACCATGAATAGATACTACCATATATGGACCCCAAATGTCCATATGTAATAATTCAAAACAGGTTGTTGAAGTAGAACTACTGAGCTGGAAATGGAGTCTCTTCTGCTTAGCAAAGTGGCAACAATCACAAATCCAACTTTTATTCACTTGAATTGTTGGATTTACATTGTGTAGTAACTGAATCTTAGAGTGTGAGGCATGTCCCAATCTAGCATGCCACAAGGTACACTTATTCAAATCTGAAACTGCACTATTTACAAAAGAATCAACAGGAAAAATCAAGTGATACAGACCATCTTGCAACTCAGCCATTCCAATCATCTTACCATGAATAGCACCCTATATCATACATTGGTTAGTATGGAAGCTCATTGTGCATCTGGAACTCTTAACAAAGGCTCCTACAGATATTAAATTGTATTGAAATCCAGGGACATACAATACATTATGTAGCACAAATTCCTTGGATAGATGTACAGAACCAATGCAAGTAATGCTAAATTTCTGTCCATTGGGCAAGCTAACATGTATATCATGAACCTCCTTTTGATCAGTCAATAAATCTATGCAACACACAATATGGTGAGTGGCACCACTGTCTAATATCCATTTATATTGTTTGTAATCTGCAAGATTGAGAGATGAGCTTGTACCTTCAGTTTGAGCTCTTGGTATGAGATTAGCAGATATGGTGTTCACATGTGCATCTTGGTCCAGAGGTGTGCTCAGAACCCCTTTCTCTCCATATGATTTATGGATTTGGACAAACTCCATAAATTTTTGAAGTCATTGTGAGTGAATGAAACACTCTCATCAGGTCCTTATTGTTGAACTGTCTGTGGCCCCTGAGTTTGATTAACAGAACCTTGGCTTCTTGGTTTCGGTTTCCATCCAGGTGGGAAACCATGCTTCCTATAGCACTTGTCTTCTGTGTGTCCAGTGTATCCATAGAAGGTACATGTAGGTTTCTTGTTGCCTGTTGTGAATTTCTTGAAGTTCTGTTGAGGACCACCTGCTACCCTGGTCATCAACACATTGCCAGAGGTCCCATTCTCACCAGTTTGATGCAGTTGGCTGGTAAATCCAGTATTCCCAATATGAAACTGTCTCTCTTATTGTGCTATCATGGGGTAGGCATCATACACATCTGGTAGAGGTCTCATAAGCATAATCTGGTTTCTTGCACCAGTTTGTCTATCATGCAGACCAATGAGAAAGATAGAGAGCTTATCCTTTTCTACTTGCTCATTTAGTTGGTCAATTTTTTTACCACATTCACACTTCAGAGTACATTCACAACCTACAACAGGTCTGAGTATTTGGAGTTCATCCCATGAAAGCTTTTGCTGGTGAAATACTCATTCAAGGAACTATCACCTTGCTTCGTTTGATAGATCTCGCATTTGATCTCTGCGATCCGAAATAGGTCTTGTTGGCTAAACCTACGCTTCAGGTCTCTCCATATCCCATATGCAATGTCAATCCAAAGAACACTGCGTCCAATCGTTAGAGATAATGACCAGACAATCCAAGTGACCACCATGTCATTACAACGTCCCCAAACCTCGAATTTTCGATCATCTCTGGGAGGTTCAAGGATAGAGCCGTCTACAAACTTGAGTTTGTTCTTGCACGATAACGCCATTGTCATGGCTCTCGCCCATGGATGGTAATTTGAACCGTCCAATGACGTCGAGATGAGCACTAGGGCTGGGCTCTCATTAGGGTGAAGAAAATAAGGATTCGATTGAGACTCTGGATCAAAAATTATCTCTATGATAGTCGATCCAGTTGCTGAAGTAGATGGAATTCCCATCGTAGGGATTCCCGGGATAGGTGTCGGACTTCCAATTGACGGAGCTGCTCCCGTCGTGTTCATCAGAGTAGTCCTCTCTCCAATCGTCAGCCACGCTGCTGCCATATTGAACTGTTTTAGAAAGCTCCTTTAAAGTCTAGGAAGCTCTGATACCATGTTGCGAAGCTTAATGAGAGAGGGGAAGGATACTGATTAAAAGGAAAGCAACTGTTTTATTCATCATTCTTCAAGCTACAGAGGAGAGCATTTTATATACAGGGAAAAGAAGCTGAAGCTGAGGTGAGCCGAAGGACTAACCGATTAACTGAAGATGAAAAAATAACAACTAAAACAACAACTGTTAATAACAGACTAAACAGATTTAATTGGGCTTGGGTTGATCTGCTACTTGGGCTTGATCTGCTTGCTTGTTTACTATTGCACTATCTGATATATGAACGGTTAACATTGAAGGTAAAATTGAATACGTACGTAAACTAAGTAATATTTTAAATTTAAGGTTAAGATGATTCAACAGAGCAGGTGGTGGGTGTATGAGCTGAGGAAGCTAGCATTGAATTGAATATTTAATGGACTAGTGTAGCACTTGTACAACCTGCTGATCGAATTTCACTCGTGCTGCCACAACGTAACTAAAGCCTAAAAAATTAAATGGGTGCAGTATGTAGTCAAGTAAGTGTGCCTAAATAAATATATGTTGGGTTGGGGCTTCCCTCCTATGTGGTAAATAGCTCATTTTGGACCAAGCCTATTTGTATCCACTATAAGAAATATTTTATTCAGCCTGCACCTACTGACATTCATTAAATGTCATTTGAAAGTTGCTTGGCGGTGGAGCTGTTTGGCAGAAGAGAAGGAAATTATTTTCTTTGCTTTCACACTTCCTTTGCTGCATGGGTGTGAAAAGGTGGACAAAATTGAATTTGCTTTATTCAATACCCATCTTGGTTGTCAGCATGGAATGAGGGGCAATTAATTGCTTTTGGCAGCATGCATGTGAAAGGTTGACAATTTCTTTCTTACTATTCCCATTTTGGCAGCAACTCACAACTACAAAAGGAGCAATATTCATTGTTCTTAATTACCACAAATTTCCACAAGCTTCTTCTTTCTTCATTCGGCTGAAGCAGTACGCAAAAGGAAAGAAAAAAATTCATTCTTCTTTCTTTCTATTCGTTCACGGCAGTACGGAGCGCAGCGGAAGGAGTAACATCTATTTCTTCTTCATTTGGCGTTATTTTGTCGTGGGTTTGCCTAGATCTTTTGGGTACTTTCTTTATCAAATATTTTGTAGAGGTCAATTGTTTGTTCCAGGCATCTTTTTGGATACTCTCGTAATATTTGTATTCTATTCACCTTGCTCGTGGTGGTTGAATATTTTGAGTACGAGATATTATTCCTTTTTAAGCCTGTGAACGTGATAGAATGTATTTGGCCTAGAGTTGTTGTATTTGATATTTTTAGGGTGTTTGGCTCGGGTGGTAGCCAGCAACTTTGTACTCAAGATTTGTTATAGTGGAATATTGTGTTGGTGGTGGTCCGTGGTTTTTCCCCGTGGTTTTGGGGTTTTCCACGTAAATCTTGTGTCCCTTGTGTCAATTATTTATTTTGGATATTTTGTACCATATCGTATTTGCGCTCTTGTCGGTCCTGTAATTTTATTTATCACAGGTAGTGGTATTTTTCCCAACAAAGTGGTATCAGAGCCCAGGTTGTTGATCGGGTACATTTGACATGGAGTCAAATACGATTAATATGGTGCGCTTGAATGGTAGAAATTTTCACATTTGGAAGTCCAAGATGAAGGATCTCTTGTTTCTGAAGAAATTGCATCTACCCGTGTTTGCAAGTGCAAAGCCAGCAAATATGTTAGACGAGGAGTGGGACTTTGAGAACCAACAAGTTTGTGGTTATATTCGACAATGGATCGAAGACAATGTTCTGAACCACGTTATTAGTGAGACAAATGCCAAGAGCCTGTGGGATAAGCTTGACACCCTGTATGCTTCCAAAACAGGCAATGACAAGCTGTTTCTGTTGAAGCAGTTGATGAATCTAAGATACAGGGAAGGTACATTGATCAATGATCATGTTAATGATTTCTAGGGTGTTCTTGATCAGTTGTCAAGCATGGGCATCACATTTGAGGATGAGGTACTTGGTCTCTGGTTGCTTAACACTCTACCTGATTCTTGGGAAACATTTCGGGTTTCTTTGACCAATTCTGCTCCCAACGGTGTTGTGACCATGGAGTATGTCAAGAGCGGTATCTTGAATGAAGAAGCAAGAAGAAGATCTCAAGACACCTCCACTTCTCAGTCAGAGATTTTGGTTACAGAAGATAGGGGGAGAAACAAGCAAAAGGGTCAGAAGGGTATAGATGTTGAATGTCATTATTGTGGCAAGAAAGGACATATCAAGAAATATTGCTTCAAGTTGAAAAGGGACAAGAAGCAAGATAATGATGATGTCACCGGGAACCAAGTTGCAATAGTTGGAGGAGATTTACTTGTCGTCTGCGATGAAAATGCCAACAATGTTGCTTGCCATGAGACAACTTGGATTATGGATTCAGGTGCAGCCTAGCATGTTACACCAAGAAAGGAATTCTTTGCTTCATATACTCCAGGTGATTTTGGAGAGCTAAGAATGGGTGATGATGGTCAGGTGAAGGTGATTGGTACCGGTACAATTTGCCTTGAGACAAACAATGGCGCAAAGCTGGTACTTAAAAATGTAATGCATGCACCGGGTATCAGACTGAATCTTATTTCTACTGGAAATCTTGATGATGATGGTTTCTGCTGTATCTTTGGTGATGGACATTGGAAAATCACCAAAGGCTCGCTGGTTGTTGCACGAGGTAACAAGTCTTCTAACTTGTACTCTTTGCAAAGCTCTATTTCTAGTGGTTCAGTGAATGTGGCAACAAAGGAATGTGCATCAGAGTTGATACATTCTGATTTGTGTGGACCAATGGAAGTTAGGTCACTTGAGGTTTGTTGCTGTATCACCGGGATGGCAATATCCTCCACATAGTCGGGAGGGGGAGATTTGTTGGGTTGGGGCTTCCCTCCTATGTGGTAAATAGCTCATTTTGGACCAAGCCTATTTGTATCCACTATAAGAAATATTTTATTCAGCCTGCACCTACTGACATTCATTAAATGTCATTTGAAAGTTGCTTGGCGGTGGAGCTGTTTGGCAGAAGAGAAGGAAATTATTTTCTTTGCTTTCACACTTCCTTTGCTGCATGGGTGTGAAAAGGTGGACAAAATTGAATTTGCTTTATTCAATACCCATCTTGGTTGTCAGCATGGAATGAGGGGCAATTAATTGCTTTTGGCAGCATGCATGTGAAAGGTTGACAATTTCTTTCTTACTATTCCCATTTTGGCAGCAACTCACAACTACAAAAGGAGCAATATTCATTGTTCTTAATTACCACAAATTTCCACAAGCTTCTTCTTTCTTCATTCGGCTGAAGCAGTACGCAAAATGAAAGAAAAAAATTCATTCTTCTTTCTTTCTATTCGTTCACGGCAGTACGGAGCGCAGCGGAAGGAGTAACATCTATTTCTTCTTCATTTGGCGTTATTTTGTCGTGGGTTTGCCTAGATCTTTTGGGTACTTTCTTTATCAAATATTTTGTAGAGGTCAATTGTTTGTTCCAGGCATCTTTTTGGATACTCTCGTAATATTTGTATTCTATTCACCTTGCTCGTGGTGGTTGAATATTTTGAGTACGAGATATTATTCCTTTTTAAGCCTGTGAACGTGATAGAATGTATTTGGCCTAGAGTTGTTGTATTTGATATTTTTAGGGTGTTTGGCTCGGGTGGTAGCCAGCAACTTTATACTCAAGATTTGTTATAGTGGAATATTGTGTTGGTGGTGGTCCGTGGTTTTTCCCCGTGGTTTTGGGGTTTTCCACGTAAATCTTGTGTCCCTTGTGTCAATTATTTATTTTGGATATTTTGTACCATATCGTATTTGCGCTCTTGTCGGTCCTGTAATTTTATTTATCACAGGTAGTGGTATTTTTCCCAACAAAGTGGTATTAGAGCCCAGGTTGTTGATCGGGTACATTTGACATGGAGTCAAATACGATTAATATGGTGCGCTTGAATGGTAGAAATTTTCACATTTGGAAGTCCAAGATGAAGGATCTCTTGTTTCTGAAGAAATTGCATCTACCCGTGTTTGCAAGTGCAAAGCCAGCAAATATGTTAGACGAGGAGTGGGACTTTGAGAACCAACAAGTTTGTGGTTATATTCGACAATGGATCGAAGACAATGTTCTGAACCACGTTATTAGTGAGACAAATGCCAAGAGCCTGTGGGATAAGCTTGACACCCTGTATGCTTCCAAAACAGGCAATGACAAGCTGTTTCTGTTGAAGCAGTTGATGAATCTAAGATACAGGGAAGGTACATTGATCAATGATCATGTTAATGATTTCTAGGGTGTTCTTGATCAGTTGTCAAGCATGGGCATCACATTTGAGGATGAGGTACTTGGTCTCTGGTTGCTTAACACTCTACCTGATTCTTGGGAAACATTTCGGGTTTCTTTGACCAATTCTGCTCCCAACGGTGTTGTGACCATGGAGTATGTCAAGAGCGGTATCTTGAATGAAGAAGCAAGAAGAAGATCTCAAGACACCTCCACTTCTCAGTCAGAGATTTTGGTTACAGAAGATAGGGGGAGAAACAAGCAAAAGGGTCAGAAGGGTATAGATGTTGAATGTCATTATTGTGGCAAGAAAGGACATATCAAGAAATATTGCTTCAAGTTGAAAAGGGACAAGAAGCAAGATAATGATGATGTCACCGGGAACCAAGTTGCAATAGTTGGAGGAGATTTACTTGTCGTCTGCGATGAAAATGCCAACAATGTTGCTTGCCATGAGACAACTTGGATTATGGATTCAGGTGCAGCCTAGCATGTTACACCAAGAAAGGAATTCTTTGCTTCATATACTCCAGGTGATTTTGGAGAGCTAAGAATGGGTGATGATGGTCAGGTGAAGGTGATTGGTACCGGTACAATTTGCCTTGAGACAAACAATGGCGCAAAGCTGGTACTTAAAAATGTAATGCAT